GAGGAAGGGAGAGAGAGAGAGAGAGAAGGAGAGTATGATAGAGGAGGAGGAAGAAGAAAAAGAAAACTAGAGTCATCTGGGAAGAGGGAACAGAGTTGAGGCCTTGTGTCCTTCAAGTTGGCCTGTGGGCATGGAAGGATTTTCTTGATTGACAGTTGATGTGGGAAGGCTAAGCCTGCTGTGGGCAGTACCACTCCTGATCTGTACAAGAAAGCAGGCCATGGAGAGCCAGCCAGTAAGCATCATTCCTCTGTGGTTTCTGCTTCAGTTTCTGGGCCCCCGCCCGCACCCCAAGGTCCTGCCTTGAGCTCCTTCCCTTGCTCCCCTTGATAATGGTCTCTCACCTGTAAGCCAAATGAACCCTTTCCTCCCCACGTTGCTTTTGGTCATGATGTTTATCACAGTTCAAAGTTCAAACTACAACAATTACTTATCAAATGACTGTGATCATAAGTGACCTGTGTAGCTTACGTCATGCCCCCTGGATTTAGTGTATAGTCCATCAAGGAAAGCTTGCAAAGCATGACTCTGTAGCACACATACTTGATTACATACTTTTGCCCTGTCATAAAATCTCCCTTGGTTTCATCTCTGAACGCTTTCCTTTCTTCCCACCCCACTTTCTTCTCAGAGTCTCCCTGTTTTAGACCAGGCTGGCCTCGAACTTGGAACTTGTAGTGACCGTCTTGCCTTTGTCTCTTGAGTGCAATTTACAGAAGTGTGCCACCATTTTGTTTTTCTCTGAGAAAGGCCTCCACAGGACTTTTCTATCTCTCCTTTCAATCTCACCAGCCTTCTCCACCATCCAACAGAGTGTCACAATGTTTCCAGACACACTCAACCCTTTTGTTACTGTGTTAGTCTTTTTAATTGACACATTGTAATTGTACATGTTTGTAGGTTATTTGTGACATTTCAATACATGGATATCATGTGTGATGATCAGATCAGGGTAAGTGTTCTGTAGTCACATATGGCCAAATAAATTGATGGCATTGGGAGGTGGGGGACAAAACCTCATTTCACTGAGACCTTAGCTGTGCACTGCTGAGTTCAAGGTACCACATATAACCCAGGCATCTTCCAGTCCCTATCACCTTAAGGGTTTTGTTGTTATTTTGTTTTTTGAGACAGGATTTCTCTGTGTAGCTTTGTGCTTTTCCTGGAACTCGCTTTGGAGACCAGGCTGGCCTCAAACTCACAGAGATCCACCTGGCTCTACCTCCCGAGTGCTGGGATTAAAGGCGTGCGCCACCACCGCCCGGCTCACCTTAAGGTTTTATCTTACTCTTGATCATTTATTTCCTAATTTTTTTTTTCGAGACAGAGTTTCTTTGTGTAGCTTTGTGCATTTCCTGGAACTCACTTGGTAGACCAGGCTGGCCTCAAACTCACAGAGATCCGCCTGCCTCTGCCTCCCGAGTGCTGGGATTAAAGGCATGCACCACCACCACCCGGCTATTTCCTAATTTTATTTGACAGATTCTATAACTCCTTCCCTTTCAGATTTGGTGCTATCTTCATTTACTCATAATTCAACTGATCCTTCTCCTGCCCAATATTTTCTATATTATATACTATATACTATATGTATTTAAAATCTGTGCCGATACCATTTATTTATAATTAAAAATTATAAATATTTATTTATATTGGCTATATAGAATTAATCACCAAAATTCCAGTGCTTGCAAGATGGCCCAATGAGTAAAGGCATTTGCTACCAAGCCTGATGACCAGAGTTTGATCCCTGGATCCCCACATGGTGGGAGAACATAACCTACTCTTGCTTCGTCCTCTGCTGTGTACACACATTCTGTAGCACTCACACACATGAAAACTAAAATGCAAACCACCAAAATCTCCCTTTCTTTACTGGAAAACTAAGCCAAAACAATCAATCTTACTTTATATTTTAGGAAAATTTACTTCATTTGTAACATGATGTAAGAAGTATTCTTAATAAGTCATTATCAAAACACAGGTTGAGGTTGTGGAGCCTGCATGGAACTGGACTAGGCCCTCTGCATGGCTAGACAGTTGTGTAGCTTGATCTGCTTGGAGGGTCCCTGGTGGTAGGACCAGGCTCCATCCCTGGTATATGAGCGAGATTTTTGGAGCCCACTACCTATGATGGGACACCTCTGCAGTCTTGAGGCAGGGGGAAGGGCTTGGACTTGCCTTTACTGGATGTGCCTCCCCATGGGAGGCCTTGCCTTCTTGTGAGTGGGAGAGGGGTGTAGGTTGAGGGGGAGGCTTGAGGACAGGAGGAGGAAAGAGGGGGATCTTTGATTGGTGTGTAAAATGAATGGAAAAAAATTCTTAAAAAATACTTTCAAAAAAACAAAAACACAGGTTGAGGTTTGAAAATACTTCGGAGACCAAGTTGACATTTCAGGGTTCACTTGGCACTTTTACTGAGTGCATTTTGTACATTCTGGGAGTCATTGTATGGGCATACAACAGTATCTCCAGGTTCATTAGAAAACCCAACCTTAGGCATACCAGAGGCATTGTCTGCTAGTGATGAAGGGACTCTGATGCTGTTTTGATGTCAGAGATAAAAAGCAATGCATACTCAGTTAGTTTAAGCAAGGAGAAACTAAAATGTGAATTGAAAAATACATCAGTTGAAGCACCAATTTTCTCCTTATCAAAAAGAGCAAAGGTTGTAGATAAATCTGCTAGGCAGATTAAAGTTGTATGTCTTTGAGTCAAAGACTGAATATATTAAAAATGAAATAGAAAATATTTGCAGTAACACTGAGTTCTACTATGTATAAACTGCTGGTGAGAGCCACTCCTGGTGAGGAAGCATGAACTGTTTTATATAATTTAAAACTTAACCATCCCACATTCCTATTTTAAAGAATGAAAATGGTGAGAAGCAAAGTAATTGTGTTGATTAAAATTAAACAAATTAGCCAGGCGGTGGTGGTGCATGCCTTTAATCCCAGTATTTGGAAGACAGAGACTGGTGGATTTCTGAGTTTGCGCCCAACCTGGTCTACAGAGTGAGTTCCAGGACAGCCAGAGCTACACAGAGAAATCCTGTCTCAAAAAAACAAAAACAAAAAATTAAATCATATTCTCTTTCTCTACTAGAGGGAAGATTACTAAATCAGTGTTCCAGCCAAGCGTGAACCCAAGCATGTTTCTCTCGGTGCGCTAACGTTGGTTGCATGAAGAGTAATTTGGCAAGAAATATCATGTTCCACTTTCACACCCTAAAACTGCTGCCAGAAGTGAAAGTGATGGTCTGAAGCAGCTGTGTGTCCTAACACTGTGGAGCTGAAGAGCAGATTTCAGAAAAGGCTCTCGGGTTTACTAAAAGCTGAGGGAAGCGAGCTAGCATTACTCTGGTCTCTTTCTAAGACTGATGTAGATGTGAAAATGAAGCATCTGAATTGAAGCCATTAAGCTGTTGTAGAATGTAAGCCTGACAACTAATTAAAAGACTATAACCAAGTTTGTAGCAAGCTTTCTTGTTGGACTGTCTTTGGATCACCAGACCACAAATAATGACCTGGAGGCTTATTATTAATTATGAAAGCATGGCTTTAGCTTAGGCTTTTCTCCAACTAGCTCTTATAACTTAATTAACCCGTATTTTTTAAATTTACATTCTCCCACATGGATCGGTTACCTCTTCTTAGTATGGCACATGTGACTTGCTCCGAGTCTGCTGGTGAAATTGTGTGCCTAGATTCCCCCTCAGTTTCTCTCTCTTTCTGCCTGGAAGTCTTGCCTATTTTCTCCTGCCTAGCTATTAAATATTTAGCTCTTTATTAAACCAATCAGAACTCCTTAGACAGAGACACATCTTTAGAGTGTAAAGATTTCTGTAACACAAGTTTATTGTAACTATCTCTTGAATATAAAAATCATGGACCACAGCTGGGGGGGGTGCACACCTTTAATCCCAGCACTTGGGAGGCAGAGGCAGGTGGATCTTTGTGAGTTTGAAGCCATCTTGATCTGCAAAGCAGGTTCCAGGAAAGCCGGGGCTACACAGAGAAACCCTGTGTAAAAAAAAAAAAAAAAAAAGTCATGGATCATCTATATGTTCAGAAATACCTACAAATTTCTAATTTTCACTTTAAATGAGACCACGTTTTGCTTCCAGTGGAAGAACCCAAGGCAAGAATTATATAATAGACAAAAGAGTTGAGACTGACAGCCAGAAATGGAGAAGATGTCAGCTTTTCCCTTTCCAATTAAAGGAGTAGTGGGTTATCAAATCTAAGACATCTGTTGTCTTTCTGGCCATGCTGAGGTGAAACCCAGTACTTGGTGTGTGCCAAGCAAGTGCTCAGTCACCTAGCTGCATCATGCATCCTACAATCACATTTAAAATGTCTTCAACTCACCCAAGTGTGCTGAGTCCATGTGGTACAAATGTGAGGCTGTTTTTTGTGCTGCTGTCTCTGCCGCTCAGAATCTTTTTATATAAAACTATAACCCCATGTGGTTAGCACTCAGTGAAGGTAGCTTTACTCACATTAAGAACCTCTGCTTCTAAAGGAGCAGTTAGAGTTCTTTGAGTGAATATTTATGGAAAAATTGAGAAATGCTCTGCATAACTTAGTGTTTCTAGCTGTTTGGGGACATTTTGATTTCAGTTATGCACTGTGGGGCCCATGTGCTACTTAATCCTGCGAGAGAGGCACTGCTAATTTAATACTTAAAAAACAGAGAGCAGTCAGAAAGTGGCCCAAAGGGGCAAGTTTCAGAACTAGGATTCCAGTCCTAGCTGCAGTAGATGGTCAGGTCTTGCCTCATTCCACTCTGCCCGGGGCATCCCTCGTGCCATTAATCCCTTGCACCATCCCTAGCGCCTGATTTCATCACTGTTTTTTCTACTATTTCCATAAGATTGTATCTTAGTCTGCTTGTTGAGGGAAACCCTAGACTGTTACAATGCAATGCAGTAAAAGTCATTAGTAATCTCACAAAAGCAAAGGTAGGTGGGAGGATGTCATCTATCACCTGACCCACCTAGGGTGGGGGCATGACCTGGGGAAGTAATGAACGTGATTCTATACTCTGTATGCATTCTGCTGCCTCTGTGCTCTTCTTTTGTTTGCATTCTGCAGCTGATGAAAGTGAAGAGGAGGAAACTCTATGAAGGTTCCGGAACCTTAATTTAACACTGGGTCTGTTTGTCTAGGGTTGGGTATATTCTCGCCCGTGGTCTTCAGGCTTCAGGCTTTGTGGGGCCAGCCCAGCAGGTCTCTAGTTGACCTTACTTCCATGATCACCTGTCCTAAGAGGTGGCTGTCTGCCTTCTGGGGTCACCCCTCCACCTGACTGCCTACTGCATTTGCTACCACTGTTTGGGACTCTCTCCATGCATTGTTTTCCTGTTCTTTTATATTCTGTCATTTCCTGTTCACAGAGTTTCTCTCCTTACACTAGGCATGCTTACATTTCTCCCTGTCTACAAGAAACCTTCACCCGCTTCCCGTCACACGATTCCTCCCTGAAGGCGCACTCTCCGTTGGCTTTCCTCCCCTTTCTCTGTAACCTGGCTCTCCTTACTACTGCAGCTCAACAACCTTTTCAAATGTGCTTAGCAGGTAAGAACTTCATCTTTTCTGCTCTCCTTTCTAAGTGCCTGGTAACGAATAATAAATAATGGCAGTAGCTACAGTGGTGAAGAAGAGTTTAAGTTCCTGATGAGGTGTCAGGTGTGTTATAAAACATAGACATTATTGTTTTTTGCTTTTGTTTTTGTTTTTTTGTTTTTGTTTTTGTTTTTCGAGACAGGGTTTCTCTGTTCAGCTTTGCACCTTTCCTGGAACTCACTTGGTAGCCCAGGCTGGCCTCAAACTCACAGAGATCCGCCTGCCTCTGCCTCCTGAGTGCTGGGATTAAAGACGTGCGCCACCACCGACCAGTGAACTATCCTTGTCTTTTTTTTTTTTTGACATTATTGTTTTAAGAATCCGCTGGCCTTACCATGTTCCCCACCATCCTGCAGCAGATGGACTGATAGAAAGATAGAATGGCCTTTTGAAGACACAATTACAGCACCAATTATTTAGCGGCAGCCTGGAGGGCTGGGGGAAGTTTCCCCAGAAGGTGGTATATGCTTTGAACCAGTGTCCAGTATATGTTTCTCCCATAGCCAGGATGCATGGGTCCAGGGATCAAGGGGTGGGAAAGGAAACAGTTCCACTCAGTATCACCCCTAGGGACCCACTAGAAAAAAATGTGCTTCCTGTTCCCACAACCTTAATTTCTATTGGCTTAGAAATTTTGGTTCCAGAGCACAAGCCCCCCTTTCAGGAGACACAGCAAACAGTCCATTGAACTGGAAGCTCAGACCTCCTCCGGGCCACCTTGGGCTTCTATTCCCCTAAGCAAATAGACTAAGAAAGGAATTAGGAGGGGTGTTGATCCAGATTACTTGGGAAGTTGGATTGCTTCCCCACAATGGATGTAAGAGAGATTATGTCTGGAGTGCAGGAGATCTTTTAGGACAGTGGTTCTCAACCTGTGAGTCAAGAACCCTTTGAAGGTCAAATGACTTTTTCACAGGGGCCACCTAAGACTATCCTGCATATCAGATGTTTATATCATGATTTATAACAGTAGCAAAATGAACAGCTATAAAGTAGCAACAAAAATAATTTTAAGGTTGGGGGTCACCACAGCATAAGAAACTGAATTAAAGGGTAGAAGCATTAGGAAGGTTGAGAAGCACTGTTGTGTTCCTCTCTAAGTTCTGTTCATCTAGAGAACCCTAATACACCCCCACCCTCCACCCCATCTGAACTCCATATCCTTTCCCCCTAAAGCCCTTCAAGGCAGTTTGTGATGCCCATGAACCCATGGGTATAGACCATCAACTGAAGCATAGCAGACTTCCCAGGGACCACACCCAGAAGCCATCAGCTGCCACAGCTCCTCGGCTATGGTGGGAGATTATGACTGATATCCCTCCCCTTCATACTGGAATGTTGACTGACTCCATCTTGTACAGGCAACCACACCATTCGTGAGTGCAAAGGTCCTGCCATTTCCAGAAGACACTCTGGCCCTCCCAACCTCTGGCTTTTACCATCTTTCCATGTCCTCTTCTGTGATGGTCCCTGAGCCTTGCAGGGAGAGGATATGATACAGATGTCCCGTTTATGACTGAACACTCCTCAGATACTTATTCTCTGCACTTTGACCATTGTGAGTTTCTATATGAACCCCTGTCCACTTGACAAAGAAACTTCTTTTATGTAGTCTGATCTGAGAACTATTCAAATTTTGGGTACAGAGATATGAATTTAGAGGACAGTTTGATACTATGTTCATTTAGCATTAGGGCCTATGAGCTCCTGAACCATGGGTTCTTGTCCAGATATGCATTACCAGACATGCATTTCCTCCTATGGAGCAGGCTTGAAATCCAATGTGATTTTGACTCTTCACTTGATGGGCACGGCTCTGGGAATGTCTGTGATGGGTTTTCTAGATTAGGTTAATTGAGGAGGGATGTGGGGTGTCTTTCTGTATGCAGTGAATATGTGTTGCTCCCATTGGTTAATAAATAATGTTGCTTTGGCCTATGGCAAAGCACCTTAGAGCCAGGTGGGAAATCCAAGCAGAGATACAGAAAGGACAGAGTCGGGGGCAGACACCAGCCAGCTGCTGGAGAAGCAAGATATATTAGAGCACAGATAAAGCCATAAGACACGTGGCAAAGCACATATTAATAGAAATGGGTTAATTTAAGGTGTAAGAGCTAATTAACAATAAGCCTGAGCAATAGGCCCAACAGTTTATAATTAATATACGCCTCTGACTGGTTATTTGGGAACAGGTGGGCAGGAGAGATTCGTCTGATTCCAGAGGAGGGAGGATTTACCATTCCATAGGCTGGGGTCCTGGACTGAATAAAAGGAAGAAGGCTTGCTGAACAACCCTTCCATTCCTCTCTGCTTCCTGTCTGCGGCTGCTCACCCTCTGCCTCCATGCTCTCCTATCCCAATGGATCACACCGCAAGCTCCAGGCCGGAATAAACCCTTCTTTCCTGAAGTTCCGTTTGTTGGGGATTTTGATGCAGCAACAAGAAAACTGATACAGCTCCTACCTGTTTTCTGAGCACTGCAATTCCCAGGCAGATACAGTACAAAGGAACTGATGCATTTAACACATGCATGCAAGAAATAGTTACTGGACCAGCGCATTGCAGTTAGTGATCTTAGCTAATGTGAAGCCTAGGAGGTGGTGAAACAGGCAATGGGAAGAGCGCAGCAGCCCCCTAAGGGCAGCGCCTGTGAAGGGCCAATAGCCCTGGAGCCTTTGACAAGGTGAGCAAGAGTACAGAAAATTAAAAACACTTCTCCATTTAAATCTGGGTGCTCAGCTCGGTTCCCCGCTGTATATGGAGGAAGCTGTCCTCTGGCTGAGGCTTCGCCGCAGCTTCAGGGAGCTTAGTAATCACTTCTCCCAGATTCTGATCATTGCCCTGGCTGCGGCTGCGGCTGAGTCATTCCTTTTTCCTTATGAATCAATGGAGAAAGAATGGGCCGTTGGCTGCGTCTGTGGAATAACATGAAATGAGATCCATATTTCACATCAAACCCAAACACGTATTTCAGACTGAATGTGGGAAGCAAAACTGAAGCAGTCAAGAGCCAAGTGTGAGAGGGCATCTTGGGGTCTTGAACCAAAAAATGCTTTTTAAAACAAAGCACATCAAGAGCAAACCCTAAGGAAAAGGTTAATGAATTGTGTCAAAATTAGAAATCCTGTACATCAAAAGACACCCATAAAATCTGAAAATGGACACAAGTGCCCATCCCGGACCCCACGGGCCACAGCAGCGGGTGCCGTTACAATGGAAAGATGTCCGATGGAGAGATGGGAAGACTGAGGACGTCATGGAGAGTGGGAAAGAGGGGGAGGTGGGGCAGTCGTGTGCTGTGGAGAGAGGTGGATCTGGAGACGTGATGGCAGTGAAGAACAGGCCGATGTGAGGAACCTGCAGCCACCTGAAGCCGTGGGGATGTCCTGGGGCCTGGGCTGCTGCAGGGGCCATGCTGGTCTGAGTGAGTGGCCTGTGCTGCCACCTGAGACCACGGTGACATCCAGGACCATGCTGCTGCCACTGAGGGCCAGGTCTGGCTCTGTGACCCTACTGTGGCTGGGGTCTGTGTTGATGACCATCGCCCATGTTGCCTCTGAGGGCCATTCCGATGTCCACATCCATGGTCTGTGCTGCCACCTGAGGCCATGGGGATGTCTGGGCCCAGGCTATCACTGAGGGCCATGTCTGAGTGAGTTCATGGTCCCACTGCAGCCAGGGTCTGTGTGGATGTCCATTGCCCATGTTACCACCAAACACCAAGTGGATGTCTGTGGTCTGGGCTGCCTTCTGAAGCCACGTTGATGTCTCAGTGCCATGCTAAGCAGGCCCCAGCCCTCTGCTGGGCAGCATGGGAGAGCTGGTCCCAACCTGATAGAGAGATGCTCCCCTTGCCACCTACGGCAGGTGGGGGAGCTGGCCCTGGTGACATGGGTGCCAGAAAATGGGCAGACTGACCAATTCAGCTACCACACAGGCCCAGATCCAGGGCTTTGAGTTGGCCCACCTCAACATCTACCACGTCTATGAACTTCTGGAGCTTGTGAAGGGTCCAGTCCTGCCGATCCAAAGCTGCAGGGTCTCCATGACACAGGGTAACAACAAGAAATTTGAGAAGAGTCCCAGAGAGGACCCAGCATTGATTGTATAGCAGAAACAAGAGGTCTCAAACCAGTCCAAGGACTCATTGCAACGAACATTTGCAAGTAAAGCTGTTTGGGCAAAGGGGTAGAATATGCAACACACTGACACATTGCAGCTTCCATGGCAAGAGTTTGTGGTTTGTTTGTTTTCTTTTAGGGGGAGGTTGCAGGGCAGAGGGTGGGTATGGAGGGACAGGGACATGAGTGGGATTGGGGTGCATGATGTGAAATTCACAAAGAATCAATAAAAAGTTTAAAAAACTGAAAATGAAAAAAATTATTCAGCGTGAAGGTAGATGGAGGTCAGTAAATGGGAACTGATGCTCTGAAACCTTCCTGAGTGGGTGACATTCAGCACAGGTTGAAACATGAAACCAGCACTAATCATCTTGATTCAGCAAGTGAAAAAAAAAACCTAGTTACTGTTTTAAAGGAATTGTCAGCAATATCTCAATATCTAGCTTTCTAGAAACCTCTGTCTATCTGTCTGTCTATCTATCTATCTATCTATCTATCTATCTATCTATCTATCTATCTTATCTATCTATCTATCAATCATCCATCTATCTATCATGAAGCTCAAGCCAGGCCCAGTCTCTCTCTTCCTGCTGCCTGCTTACCTGGATGTAGAACTCTCAGCTCCTTCTCTAGCACCATGTCTGCCTGTGTGTCACCAAGCTTCCTGCTGTGACGATAATGGACTGAACCTCTGAACTGTAAGCCAGCCCCAGTTAAATGTTTTCCTTTGTAAGAGATGTGGTGCTCATGATGTCTCTTCACAGCAATAGAAACCCTAACTAAGACAGACATTCTGAGACAAAGGCAGATGACCTGGGCTGTCAGGTCTCACAGAAGGAAAGGGAGGTGTGACAGAGCAATGAAAGCCTCATCCTCAGACTTCAGCAAAAGAGGAACTCTAATGAAGAAAAGGTCACCTCCAGAGAGATTCAGCAGGGTGTTGTCTAGAGATAGGCATGGAGAAGGGGACAGAGGCTTTGCTCGAGTGACAGAATCAAGGTGCCCTTTGTAGAAGAGAAGAATGTAAGAAAGGCAGATACTGTGTGAATAAAGGGATTCTGATTGCACACACACACACAGAGTTTTGTAATTTCAGGTGACAGACTTTCTTTTTGCACTGCTTTTCTTTTTGTATAGTCAGGATAATTCCAGTGTTCAGGCTTATCACAAAGAACATTTGTACACATTTCTAGAAATTAAATGTGGGGCAAAATATTTCTACATGGCAACTACACAATTTTGTTTATTAAAATGTTGATTACGAAAGATGTGACATTATTGATGTGACAACCAACACCTGATTGCAGTGTCTCTCAGAACCTAAGTAATGCAATCAACCAGCTGTCTGAGATGTTTCTTTCTCATTTTCCCCTCCCTTGGTTCCTCTAATGTTAAGGAGCATGAGCTCCTTTTCGAGTGTTGTTTTGGACTTCTGTGGTGTTTCCACAGCACCTTTGTTCCCTTTCAGGCCAAGTTTAGAATGGTCTGTTCTATATGAGAGCTAAGAAACCAAGATCACTGTAGTGAAAGAGCGTGGAAACGTCTCATCAAGGAGTGGGGACGCTGTCCACAGCAATTATTACCCACGAGAGCTGGTGTCCTGAAGAGAGCTCAGGAGAACTGCAGATCAGTAAGGAAAGGGACGAAGAGATCAAGAACAAAACGGGCAAAGGTTTGCACAAACAAGTCACTAAAGAGAAGGCCCACACAGTTGAATTCAAGACAGTTTCAAATTGGTAATTTTGACAAAAGGAAAATGTCTAAATGTGACATTTCAGTGAATGGCAGAAATGTACACAAGTATTCTTTCTGATAAGCCTGAACATTGGACTTATCCTACCTATACCAAAAAAGAAAAAAGAAGTACTAAGCATTGTCAAGAATATGGAGCTAAATTAACTCTGATGAATGACTGCTTTAGAAAGCCATTTGAACATATTCTTGAGGTTTAAGAGGCTCATTCCCTCCTGTCCTTGGTATATAGCAAAGAGACCCTGATATGTGTTCAACCTTTAAGATGACCTAAATTTCCATGAGCAGAAAAGCAAATAAGTGAATTACAGTATTATTTTCAAATAATAGAGTGCTATACACTAGTTAAAATAAGCAAAAGAGATGTACTCTCTGAATACATAGAGATCTTACAGATGTGATATTAGGGAGGAAGCAAATGGCAGAAGAATTATAAGTCATGCCAGGGGCATCACACACCTCTGAGGTTTGGTAGGATGGGAAAGGTATATGGGAAAGTTGTGAATGATGCTTCAATGTTATCAAATTTATTGTATAGCCTTATAAAATATGAAGCAAAGATGATAGCATTGGCAAAGCTGGGAAGGCATATACATACATACATATATATATATATATATATATATATAATGTATTAAGAATGACATTAAGGCCATTTGGTAATTGTGCATTCCTTTAAGCCTAGCACTCAGGAGGCAGAGGCAGGTGGATTTCTGTGAGTTCAAGGCCAGCCTGGTCTACAGAGTGAGTTCTAGGACAGCCAGAGCTACACAGAGAAACCCTGTCTCAAAAAATAAGCAAACAAATAAACAAATGACATTTAAAAGAACCTAAAAGTTGTTAGTATCTTACAGACTCAATTTCAGAATGTGTTGGTTCTGACATATATTACATTCTTTAGGCAAATTTCTCAACCTATTTCAGCTCTATGACTTTATTTGATATTTGTCTGACAGTGTTTCTAAATTAATTTTATTCCTAGCTAAAACACAGCATATAAAAGTTGTATGTATTTGTGAGATGCTACGTGATGTTTCTGTATATGTGCGCGTGGACTAATATTTACATCAGGCTAGATATACCTATGTCCTTAAATATTTATGCTTTATGATGAGAACTTTCAAAACCCTTTCTTCTGGCATTTTGAATTATGTTATGTGTTATCATTATCTGTAATTACCTTATTATGCAACAAGACACCAGAATGTCTTGCCCCTGTCTGACTATAACACAGTCCCCAGTAATCTGTCTTCCTACTGATTCTGTCTGTTCTCCTGTGATGTTCGTCTTCACTGCCACACTGATTGAATTTAGAATACTCTAAAAGACACACCACTGGGTACATCTGTAAGAGTGCCTCCAGAGCTGTTTACAGAATACTCTAAAAGACACACCACTGGATATATTGTTAAGAGTGCCCCCAGAGCTGTTTATAGAATACTCTAAAAGACACACCACTGGATATATCGGTAAGAGTGCCCCCAGAGCTGTTTAGCTAGGAAGGGTGACTCATCCCAAACGTGAGTGGCTCCATTACAGAGCCTGGGACTCAGACTTAATAAAAACAGAAAAGAAGGCAGATGATCACCACCATTCACTGGTCTCTGTGTCTTGACTGGAGATAATGTGACCAGCTGTCCTCTGCTCCCTCTGCCATGCCTTCCCCACCACGATGGCCTCAAACTATGAGCCAAACAAAAACAAACAAATCAACCCATCCTTCCTTCCTAAGCTACATATTCTGTGCTTTTGGTCACAGCAATGATCGAGTAGTACATCACCAAAGGCTCTGCTAACCACGGTTCTATTCCCCACGTCTACAGTGCCAACTTTTTATATTGTCCTTGAGTGAAGCATTTGTCTTTCTCTGCCTGGCTTACCTCACTTAATGTAATATCTTCTGGTTATATCCATGTCTTAAATGACAGAATTTTATTTTTATGGTTTAATAGTACTTTTTATACAGATGTGCTAATTTTTTTTTATCTTTTCATCATTTGAAGGCTACTTATGTCCCTGCACCCGTTTCCTGAATAGTGCCGCAAACATGGAAGTACAGACGTCTCTTCAACACACTGATCTCTTTTAGCTGTACTATCCAATGGTGTGATTGCTGGATCACACGGTAGTTCTATTGTCCCCTTTGAAATTATTTTCCTATGTATGGATATACTGTGTGTGTCTATGCCTGTGTGCTATTTGCATACTTGGTACCCTTGGAGGGCAGAAGAGAGCATCAGATTCGCTGGAACTACAGTTACAGATGGATGTTAACCATCATGTGGGTGTTGAGAATTAAACCCCGGTCCTCTGGAAGATCATCCATTGCTCTTAACTGCTGATCCATTTCTCTAGCCCCCATTTTTCCCTTTTTGGAGCATCTTCATTTTCTATAATATCTATATGAATTTACATTAACCCAGACAATACGCTTTGTATTTCCTGGTTCTTAGGTGTCTGTGCTCTGATCTGCATGTGGTTCACTATTTCACCTGTAGGTGTTACCCTAAATCCTAGTTCCAAAAGGACTTGCCTTTTCATGTTCAGGGAGCTCCATATGGGATCTGTCTGTCAGTGTGCTGTCACTGTTAGCACTAGAGGGTGATCCAAGCTCAGAGTTGTCACAATCAATGAGTGTATTACTCAGCATGAGCTGGCAGAGCACCTAAGAGAGGCAGCCCTTCCCTACAGGGAGGTACTAGAAGGTTCTTCCTAGGGCTAGGTAAGCTCACATGCCATCCTCTCAGTCACCAGCCTGTTGTAAGCTCTACTGGAGAATGCCTAGCTCTCGGCAGCATCACAATAGAGGGAGCAGCCCAGGCTCCTGTGTCACCAGAGTGACGCTCAGCACTGTGCCACCCTCTAACATTATAGCCTACCATTCAGCCTGATCTTTGTACTGGTGAGATGGATTTGTGCCCTATGCTGCTACAAATGGCCACAGGTGATGCTATCTCAAATAGAAAACTGATACCCTGAAACCTCACATCTTCATTGGACATGAGGGCTCTTCTAGAGACTTCATCTACAGGTAGGACCAGTGCTGGGGGCTGCCCAGTGTTAGGTTCCAGCAGTCCAAGGTAAAGTCGTGTGCTTACTGCCCTTTCCTATCCCCAGAAAATGGCATCAGTCTTCACACTGTGCTGCCAGAGGTTGGGGTAGTGTTGGTGAAAGTAGTCCCTTGGCTACTAGGGCTGATGCTCAATTGAGTTACACATGAATCTCTACAAAGACCTGCACAGTCTCAGGTGATATTTCACCCATACCATTCTGGCTGGTGATACAATCCAAAACTTCAGTCTATCTCACTAGGGTGTGGGTCTCCACCCAGTGCCAGAGTAGCTAGATTCTCTGTCTACAGGCACTGGCTTGGGGATATCCTTGGGCAGGGAAATGGTGCCTGTTTTCTTCTGTTACTTCTCATTCACAGCTAATTATTAAGTGTTTGGATTTTTGACAGGGAGTTCAAATTTCTTGAAACTTTATATTTGAGGCTTCATATAGGCCTGAATTTTAGATGTATTCATTCCAGGAGGATGTATGTCTGTCTACCAGAAGCCTGAGGGTGCTGCCAATGAGAGCAGCATTGAATTCTAGGTCTGAAAGCTTTGCATGTATCAGACTACCTTTGTGGTAGAAAAGTAGGGCATAGGAAATGAGGCATCCGTATTTACAAATATTTTCAAGGTCAGTTGGGAGAAATACTGGTAAACTCTACCCTCCAGGGCTATGTGGAAGGAACAGAGCATGCCCAAGAAAAGATGTGGTACACAAATGTGGGAAAAGGCAAGTGCTATGTAAATGACTTATGAAAGGTTATGAGGCTGGGAGTCCAGGGATTCTGGGCCTTGGACTTGTCCTAACTCTCTAATCCATTCCTATTTTTGAGAATACCGTTCTTTTTATTAATAAGCAGTCTCTATTTCTATAATTGCACATATGTTCCTGGTCCAAATCTTTGTTCTGGAGACACAAGAACCAGGGGATATCAGAGGGTGCACCCCTGGAACTAGACTCATACCTGTCAAACACTGACAACATCATTTTGAGGCTAGGGTCCTATTGTGAAGGCATTTTAAGACTATAAATTTTTACTGTTTTTCTTTTTCCTTTTCTTCAGCCAACATCAAGGTTTGGAACATCAGTTTTTGTTGTCTGACCCTGGTAAAAGCTGGCTATTTCTAGTTTACATTTACAGTGGAGTTGTAACCCTGCAGGGTACCAACTTAAGTGTAGAAGATGGGAATCTTATTATACTCCCTTCTACCTGGATTCTGGGATTCAGGTCCTGCCCTGAAGCATCACTCCTCACTATGTTCTTCTCTTTTGACTGCTAACTTGATGGCAGCAAGAGAAGATGCTTTACTCTTTATGTATATAAATTTCCCCTCCCCCCCACGCCTTCCCCATGCCTGGCACACAGTTGGTATCTTATGAATATTCCCAGAGTAGGAAAAAGCAAGTCCCTTTTGAACGATGAAGTCTGAAATATGAAAGTCTTTCTTTTCTTTGAGAAGAGGAACATTTTAGAAGCACCAGAGAGAGAAGCAATAGTAATAAAGAAATGCATTTAAATGTTCTTATGTAATTATCAAGTTCTTGGAAGCATAAAGGAAGGATGCTGCAAGGCCATTTCGAAGCAGAGGGAGTAGATCATTCTGAGGTTTCTCTCTTGTGGCTGCCAGATAATGATGCTTCAGAAGTCATTGCAGAGCTTAGATGTGGTGATTCTGAATCTTATTCAACTGTGTATTGGCAGTTGAAGCTATATAGGGCTTGTGTTTGGCCAAGTAGGAGACTAAATATCCACAAAGACTACCTGGGAAATAGTCACATATGAAAGTAATTTTACTTCTCAAGGTGATCTGCTGGAGGTTGGAATACAAATACCAATAAAGCCTTGAAAACCTATTCTACTTCACCAATAATCAAAGCAAAACAAATTATACAGCATCATTATGCCCAGACTGGATAGGCAGCCTCTTACTCAGTGTTCTATTGCTGAGAAGAGACACCATGACCATGGCAACTCTTAGAAAGGAAATTTTTTAATTGGGGCTGGTGTACATGTTCAGAGGTTTAGTCCATTATCCTTATGGTGGGAACATGGTGAAACACAGGCAGACATGATGCTGGAGAAGGAGCCAAGAGTTCTACATTAGGATCCACAGGCATCAGGAAGAGAGGTCACTGGGCCAGAGCATTTGAAACCCCAAAGCCCACCCCAAGTGACACACTTCATCCAACAAAGCCACACCTGCTAATCCCTGTCAAGTAGTGAGTAGTGTCACTCCCCAATGACCAAGCATTCAAATATATGGGGTCCATTTCTATTCAAAGCACCACAGCAACTTTTTGCTTTCTATCATAACATCTAATGTTAACTAAAGTTTGAAGCATTGGTCACTCAGACTCCAACGGCAGAAGATTCTGCCAAGTAGGTAATGCAACAGAGTTCTTTTAAATCATAAAAGGTGCATTATTAACCTGTCCTGATGGTTAATAATGATTGTCAACTTGACAGGATCTAGACTCTCTGAAGAGACAAGCCTGTGAGCGTGTCTGTGAATGATCATCTAGATTAGGTTAGCTGAGGGGGAGACCCACTGTAAATGTGGGTGGTATATTCTGTGAGCTGGAGTTCTAGACTGAACAGAGAGGAGAGAAAGCTCAGAATAAGCTGTCATTGTCCTTTGCTTCCTGAGTGTGGATGAATGTGACCTGAAACTTTTGTCACAATGCTTCTCTTACCAGGAGGGACTTAACCTCTGAACTGGGAGCCAGAATCAACCCTCCTTAATTGCTCTGGTCAGGCATTTTTATCACAGCCGTAAGGAGAGTGAAAAGTGATCCATTTCTACAAGTGGATTTAATAAATTCAGTTTTCCAAAGATATTCCTTTCATCAAAGCTGGACACAACCTAAATAATAATAGTTTACATTTCATTGCACATTTACTACATCCTAAGCACTTGTCTAATAGTGTATATAAATTAGTTCATTTAAATTTCATAAGCAATCCTACAAGAGAGGCACTATTCTTTTCATGATCTTACAGACAAGATACTGAAGTGCAGAGCTACTAGTCATAAACGCGGTGTGGGGGGCAGTCAGCATTTCACCCAGCAGTCTAGCACAGCCTCTGTTCCCAGCCATTCTCTCCACACCATCTCTAATCCTCTGATCTAAACAGCCAATGATGAAAAGTGTGTGGATGTGAATGTGTGTGTCAGACGCGAAGAAATATGTCATCAGTGCAAAGAAATGATAGAGCACACAGGCATGGACTATATTCCTTAGCAGTAATGGAAAAGAGAAAAGCAAGAGAACCACTGTGTTGTATGACTCCTAGCATATTTATACAAATATTTATACAACTGCAATCATTAAATACTATAATGGTGAACAGACAGTTCTCAAAAGAAGAAACACAATAGTCAATTAAGTACTTTAAAGGTGTTTAACACACTTAGCCACCAGAAAAAGTGAAAAATAAAACTAATTTTGAGACTCTCACCCCAGTCAAAATGCTATCATTGAGAAAAGAGACAAATTCTGGTGAGGCTGTGGGTAAAGAGGAGCCCTTATTCATGGCTAACAGAAGTATAACCTTGTACATCCATGGAAATCAGTATGGAGTGTTCTGAAAACATTTAAAGTCAGGATTACCATATGACCCAGATATATCTCTTGGATATATACCCACAAGGCATGTTTTTATTACATTATAGCAAGAAAATGGAACCAGATCAGGTGTCTATCAGCAGATGAACAGACAATGAAGATGTGCCATACATACACAGTTGAATTTTATTCAGTTGTAAAAAAAAATAAAATGATAAAATTTGCATGAAAATGGACGGATCTGTAAAATATATTAAGCAGTGTAACAGTCTAAAAAAAAATACATGTTCTCTCCCCCACACAAATTAGTGCTTACGATTTTTATATGTCTGTATATAAATGGGGGTGAGTGTGGGTGTAGGCTATGAAAGGAGACCATGGTGGGGGGTGGGGGGGTTGGAGGTGGGAGGTGGGAGGTGGGGAGGGTATTAGGACACAACAACCACATGAAAGAGGAAAGGCTGTGGCGGGTGGCAGGTTTGAGGGAAACTGAGGAAAATGGGGGAGAAATGGAAGGAGAAGCAACAAAATCACATTTTGTTAGAAAATGTCATAATGGGGGCAGAGGAAATGGCTCAGCTGGTAAAGTTATTTTCTAATTCCACACATGCGTGTGTGCGCACGCACACACTTACACATATTTCAAAGAAAACACCACAGTAAAACTCAGTGCTGTGCACGCTAATTTAAAATGCTGTAAATGACAAACTATGGTGAATAACCATATTGAGGAGCAGTAATATTTGATGTTTACATTTGTATTTATTATTGTGTTGGTGTATAAATATGAATGTGGGCACACACAAGGTGCCCATGTAGAAGTCAGAGAAATCAGAGGAAGACATTCTCTTCTTCGACCAGCCAGGTCCCACACCAGCCAGGTCCCAGGACTGAATTCAGTCGTCAGGCCTGGCAGCATGCACCATTACCCACTGAGTCATTTCACTGGCCCTCAGTCTTTGAAACTTTTGACATGACTATATTTAAAAACTAAAAATGTTGCATCACAACCTTGCCCATCCATGAGAGGTCAAAGGTCAGCTGGCTCCCACCAGTACAGCTGTGCAGGTGGGCATGAATTTCAATGTCCTTTCAGTTGATAAATATCATGTACACTGTAGTACATAAACACATCTAAAACAAAAACGTCCTAGAACAATACTCATTGTTGGTAAATGTCATGCTCTATTGTATTTTATTATATTCTACTCCATCCTTAAAATTCTGGTCATCAGCTTCTCGTTGATTTCATCATCCCAAATTAGCGCACACTTAAGGCAATCCTAAAAGAAAAGGAAGGTTCTTGTAATGTATAAAGTATCCAAGAGAGGGCACCACAGTTCTAGCTAGAGCTAGGATCCTGAGGGTCCACCATTGGGGAGCAAGAGAGGGGCTATTGAAGCCTTT